CTCTTGCCAAATAAACAGTATACAGCTTCTAATCTTGTGTGATGTCTTTTTATATGTTGAACAAAACTAGACGGGAAATGTCAACAAGTCTGTAGAATGGCGGCCATTTTGAAAAATAAAAAATAAAAAAGGCCTCTTCCTCAATTTAAAAAAAAAGCCGGACGTGAAACATGTTTTTTTTTTTACATGGCCTAATCTCAAGCTTTAATCATTGAAAATTCAATCGTTCCTATTCTAGCTACAATTGCTTCACGAAATGGATCGATTAGACGTAAACAATAGAGTTACACATGTGTGTTATCCAAGTAGGAAACACTGATGGCACTATACATTACGTCATTTCTATTTGAGCACTAGAGAACATCTAAACCCAATATTTTTTTCGGGGCCCTAGGCAGGCCATCGACCAATGCAAATTGGGTTTATTTCGTGTTAAATCTCAAGCCACTATTTACCTCCAACTTAATAATAATAATAATAATAATAACGATTTTTAAAGCGCAAACATCACCACCAAAAATTGGTGCTCAAGGCGCAGTGTCAAAACAACAGATAGAGAACAAACAAATCACAAAAAAACAAAGTGTAAACAAGTTAATTATTATTATTAATTTTTTTATTTTTTTATTATTGAAAATTAAGCAGCACAGGAAATCAAAAAGTAAACCAACATTTTCATTTTCTCAAAGTAATACCATCCTTTTATCATATATTAGCTTGTCAGTTTTTCCTGGAAATATTTTGCATTTTATTTCATTGCATCTTATGTTCATCAAAAAATCAAAAAATTACTTACCTTATACCTTTCTGATGTGTTCCTTGTTTCCTTATATTTTTTTATTTTTTTAATTTTTTTTTAACTTGGCATGTATGCATTCTTAATAGATCATTCTGTTGTTGCAGTGAAAAGTTGAAAATTTCAGTTCAAACATTTTTCTTAACTGTATACTCTATCTGTTTTGATCAAGTTTAAAGCAATATTTACATTCAAATTTAATTTATATCATATTTTACATTACAAAACACTAACAAACTACCATTATCATCATCAATTTAATGAAAACTAACATTACAGTATTAACAGATGAAAACTAAACTTTGAGTTTAAGACCTTAATATCTCCAATTGCTTATCTACAGTATTGTCAACATCTTTCAACTTTCTACATAACTTCAATACTTTACCATCTGCCCACAACCATTCCTAACACATCTTTCATTTCCAACTATCACATCAAATAAATTACTTCTCAGACTGCTGTACAAAATGTCAAAGGTTAGAGTTGTTTTTTTTTACTATATGAAAAAAAGTTAGTAAAGGTAGGTGCAAATCAGTTGGCAGGTTAGCCTTTCACCTCTTACCTTTGTATGGCTTTGGCAATGTAGGGGACAGCATCCCTGCAAGAAAACGCATTTCAATTTCAACTCATGCACTACAGTAGTATCTAATGATGTTAGCTGAACTACGGAACAGCACACTTTGAAAAACTACAGTAGACCTTTAATAGCATTTACTACGCTTACTTTATAACATTGTTTATTCAGGCAAAAATAGGCAAAGGGTAATTAAAAAAACATCAACTAAAGACCACAGCAACTTAATGGAGTGTAAAGTTAGGCACTCACCGAGTTGGTGGGAATATGAGAGGGCAGACCTACCAAGTCTCACGCCTACGACGTGAGACTCGCGCCTCAGCGCCTCTTCTCATGCTCAACTGCCCAACAATAATTTTCTTACGCCGGCAAAAAAAAACAAAAAAAAACGCAACAATACAACTACACCTGTCTCTTTTAGTGTCTGCTATAGCCTGTTTCAGTCAAAGTTTTTGACTTTCCAAGCAGTTTTTGAAGCAAAGAAATCTAGGCCTAGGTCGGCAAAAAATTGCCGTCCTGTAGCAATTTTGGCTCGGCAATATGGCTGGCAATTGCCGATGTGAAATTCGTGGGCTGTGGACTGTATGCTGACATGGCCCATTTCACAACATTTTTCACCAAGAGCTGTCACTGGCACAAATACTGAACAGACCCAATTAAAGCGTGTTCTGAATAATTTCTTTGTTGATTTTGAAAAATCTAGCAGAAATGGAAACATTTATCTATACTGTAGTACTACTGTATAACCAATCATCAGGAGGTAGATCCAGAATTATTGAAACAAGGAGGCACCAGTTTCATATAGGCCAAGATGTGCCGTAATAATATAATTATACAAATATTGCATCCATTAATGGCATGATTAGCATTTATTGGTGATCCGCTCTGCTAGCGGATCACCTCTTGTTATTGTCAGATCTTTTTTTTTCCCCCATTTCCTGTTAGCACGATATCTAAAAATTGGCACGAGATTCATACATGCACGCTTCAACAAACATTTAGCTTGGCCTGGAATAGTCACAATAAGGTTTTCAAAGTGCGCAGTTATGCGTGACGTCATCTATCTTAATATACATGCCCAAACTATCAAAATTCAGTATTTCGACATTAATTATGTTATCATTTAAGTGAGCATTAACTTAAAGTCAATAAGTCAATGTTAAATGTAATTTACCCTAAATTTTTGGGTTCCTGACATTGTTTTGACAAGTTTCCAATCTTTTCAATCACTCTATGGCCAATAACAATGCCCCGTACGCACGCATCAAACATAGTGACCTTTGAGCGCATTTGTGCCGATATACAGTGAAATTTTGCTAAAATCAGGCCTAATTTTAAAAAGTTTCAGCTCTTTAGGATGAAAGGTGACCCCCAATTTTTATTACATATTCTGAAAGCACATGAGTTGTAAATATGATTTTATAGGTCATAATGGCTGATCGGACATTAAGACGTCATCATATTGCCATCTGAATTCAACAAACTGAATATTATCGATGACCTCATTTTAGCAAATGCGCATTTGAGCGTATCTCGCTTATTCTTGATCGATTGTCTTCCAACTTTGAGTATGTTGTAGCTGAGGCAATTCCCTTTCATATATGTGGCATCATGGTCAAAATATAGGGTTTTGCTTACCCCCTCATCTTTCTTTCGTCCAGCCTTTGATGACCCCATAATCACCTTAATCAGTCGTGATAATCACCTTAATCAGGTCATGGTTAAATGTTATGTACATTATATTTTTGTGCGCGCGTAATAACGCGAGCGTTTGCGTGCGTCAAAATTAATATATGCTTTATATCATGTCTTTTTTAAAATCAGTTATAGCCCCTTAGGATGAAAGGTGACCACTAACTTTTATTACATATTCTGAAAGCACATGAGCTGTAGATATGATTTTATATATCATAATAGCTGATCGGCCGATAAATCGGAATGGATCGTTTTTATCGACGACAAGACATACTGAAAACAATCAACAGATGCATCACTTTGAAAGCGTTCACAGGGAGTGGAGTTGTAAGAAGCAGTTAATGCCTGGCCTACAGTAATAAGCGGTGGATTTATACTAGTATAACTCGCATTGTCATGAGCACTTTACTATACGCTAATCAACCTACAGTACGAGGTATCAACTTCACTGCTTTACACCTTGAATTTCAAACGTACAATAGGTTTTATTATTTTCTTGCAAATGCCAATTGAAACTAACATCAGTAACTTCAAATATTGAATATTATTTTTATTTATAAATTAAAAAGAAAAAACGCATACTGTAGGAAAAAATATCCAGGTAAAAATATCAAGGAAAAAAGCCTTGAAGGACTTAACCTACACATCAGCACATGTTTGCAAAGATGCTACAAAATGACATCTCTTCTCTGAGCACAAGAAACAGACTTTTCCAGACAATGGTGAAAGTAAATGGCTCTCTCACTGTGGTAATAAATGTGTAATGACTTGAAAACAAATCCTTACAAAAAAAAAGGTCCAACGTTTAAATAACTGTACAGAATTGCCAACAAACAATTATAATCAACCATGCAGAATAAAATATTTTGGGTGTCCATTCAGAAGAAAATGAGGACAAGTATGTACTGTACAATGTATTGCTACACTTGATTTCATATACTGTACTGTAGCAAGCAATTATGATATGCCGACTATGTCGGTCATAACCAACATTTTTTAAGTGTCTGGTCATCTGTTACCATAAAGTATCTAATCTGTACACAATAGCATTAGCAGGGGCAGATTCAAGGGGGAGGGGATAGCCAGTCTGGCCCTCCTACTGTCAATTTTTCAAAGGCCACGAAGGAACACTCTCTGTTCAATACTGGGGGATGTTAAAGACTATTATCATTTCTAAGCACTTGAGTACAGTATATGGATGCTGTATTGCCTTCATTTTGTGTTATTATAATTATCATCTTTCCTTCTAAAAACCATGCCATAACCCAGAGGAACACTGTGTGGTACTATTATACATTGCTACAATTTGCGTAGCTCTACAGTACAGTATTCTATTTTATGAAAATTACAGGGTACAACACTACTGTATCAACTTTAATAATGAAATAATGTAATTCCTAAGACAAAGTAAGACAACACTGAAGTTAAAAAATTAATAAATAAAACAATGAATGAAATACTGTAGAACACCCCATACCATTTTCCTGGAATTTAATTAAATCTGTAGGAACAGGTTGTAAATTAGAAGTGTGGACTTGTGTACCATTGAACTACAGTACTTGCACGCTATTTTTTTTTTTAATCTTAAAAAAATCTAGAGATTTACCCCCAAAAAAACTGAAAAGATTTTTTTTTCTGGAAAGAATCCAAAAGATGATGCAAGATACTATAAAAGACACGCCAAAAGTCGCATGCCTGCTAAGTTTGCCGTTGATGGCGACATTCAAATCGAAAATGGCTGCTTGTTTATCATGTCGCAAAGTGGGCAGGCGGCGAATATAGTATGCATAAATCGGAGTATTTTGCAGGGGACCTGTGAAATCGGATGTAAATTACATTCGATAAGGCAAACTGGAGATTATCTAATTAGACAGACAACTGTAAGTTCTCTAACTGTACATAATTATCAGATCTATAGTACAGGCAATCTACACTGTATATAAATCTTGAAACAATAAAATGAAAAAAAAAACAAAAACAAACAACTATTATGACATTATAATAAGACTGGAGAATGTTTACCTTAAGTTACTAGAATGCTTGGAACATCCAAGGAGGTATTGTGTCAGTGGTGAGACTGGGTGCAAGTCAAATGATTTGATGAAGGTTCCTAAACTACTAACTAGAGTCTGGCACTCCTCAGTTGAATACACATCATGGAATACCATTCTTGTGACTCGCACTTCCTGTACTTTCTTATTAATGGTGTTTTGCAAAGTGTATTAAAGTTAAATTACTAGTTTAATGAGGATTGGATCCTAATGATTGGTATTGGCCAGGAAATCTACAGTCTTTTGGACGGTCAATGGTGATTTACAATGGCCACTTAAAATGGCTTGGGCAGAATGTAAACAAGTAGAGCTGTCTCTTATACACATCTGGAACACTCTCACCACCAAAATGAAGCCATGATACTGTGGACTTCTCACGTTCGTAAAATGCATTTCCGTATTAACTACGTCTTCAGATTTTTTCTTAGTTTTCACAATAATTCATCAATAATCCGACAATTATGGGGGGTGCACTCCCCAAAAAAGACTACTGAAACTACAATGGAAATATATATATTTGTATATTGTAAAATCTGGGTGTCTAAGACTGGTTATTTTCGTGTTTCAGGCAAATTTACCAGGATTCTACGATCCTTGCGTGTTAGAGGAGAGCTGTCTACGCGTGTTGTATCGTTTTCATAACACCCTTCACGAGTGTACTGTAGCTGACAACGAATCACTCAGGATACCTAAACAATGTAAGTTTTATTTTTTCTTTATGATAAACAATAATGATGATGATGAGGAAAATGATAACGAGGATGATAATGACGACCACGATGATGAAAGTTGCGATGAAGATGGTAATGAGGATGATGCTGTTATTGGTTTGTATTTAAGGAAAACAATCTCAGTGAAATAGAATAATAAAAACAATGATGAGGATATTGAAGATTAAATGATGATTATTACTGTACAATAACAATAATAATAGTAATAATAATAATAATAATAATAATAATAATAATAATAATAATTCTTTATTGGTTCTCATTCAAATTGGAAATATGAAATTCGGGCTTGACCCCTGGCAACCTGTGGCGGTCACAGTTCAGCACCACCCATCTTAACTACAACACATAAGGGACACATACTGATATAAAACATTGTCCTTAACCTGCTTAACTCTCAATATGAGGTTCATTTGAGGAGCCAAGTAATCAGAATCCAATTAACACCCAAATCTGGCAGGGTTTGAACTGGGGTCTTCAGCACAAGAAGAAGGAACAATAACTCTCAGCCAACTGCTCAGCACAATAATAAATTATGTCCAACCTCTTGGACATTTTGTTGCTAGTATTCATTGTGAACATTGTTATATAGGAATTTTTAGATCTGTAATTACTGTATAATAATTTTTTTTAAATCAAATGATAATGATGCAACAATAGAGGCAACACTGGAATTATTTTTGTAGTTTTTTTTCTATACTTGAAGGTTTTTAATGAATATAAAAAAAATCACCTTTGGCCGGTTCAAACCGCTTGTTTTTTACGACTTACACCGGTTATCTGTAAAACTCAATCTTAGAACTGAGCTTAGTTATACATGAAGGTTTTTTACAAGCACACTGGAAAATCAGATTTTGGGTACAGCTCTCAGTGCTAAACTAAAAATTCACTTTGGCCCTCCAAACCATTTTTATGTCCAACCTTGATAGTCTCAAAGTACATTTCAATTCAATACAATGTCTTTTTCATTTCAAAACAAAAGAATTACTGTTAATTTGAAAAAGTGTGTTAGTTTGTTTTGTTGGTTTTATTTTTCAGCTCATCGTTTGGACCCCAGCTGAGAAGAGAGAACATAAAGGCAGAGTTGATGAAGAAATTTGATTTAAAAGAATGCACAACATATAATGCAAATATTACATGGGTTATTAAGCAGCACTACATAATCAAAGTACGTCAAGCATTATGCATTTGTCATTGAGTACAATTTATGGGCCATTTATTTCCAAACATTTATTGACGTAGCTATCGGTAGATTTCCCGTTGATTTATAATAGGTCAGTACTGGGGAGGGACAACTTGATTTCCTCCTCCACAAAGCAGCCATTCGTAGATGCCTATATGGAAACCTACCTAAAATGGCCTAAATTGCCACAAGACGAGTTAACTTCGGCTTTGAATATATGAAAAATTGAAATGTGTTAAACTAAGTATGCAAGGCACTAATCATTAGAGGTATTGGTTCCACCAGCCTACACGTTTCAATAAATATTCATAATAATATTGCAAATTACACAACCTGAAATTTTTAGTAAAGAGTGAAAATACATTACTTATAATTATTACCTTCTACAAAATTCAAGCACATAAATCATCTACAAAGCAGTAGCAGTAGTAGTAGAAGTAGAAATACAAATTGGTAAAAGTACATCAATAATCCGTTAATACCATAGAAACTACAAATTCACATCCATATAGGCATAACTAATTACATTATACACAAAATACAGGCTAAATCAAGGACCTTTGTTAATAGTCCTTGCTAAAATGTCGAACAAATAGTAAACTACTTTAATCTGGTATTTTACCTTAGATCATCCATAAATGCTAAATCAAACCATTTCACGACAGCAATAATAAATTTGCGAAATATGAAATTAATTATCTGAATTAGACACGTCAAAAATTATTTGTGATATCTTAAAATAATCTACACATCTTACCTCAAATACAATTTAAGCAACTATAGTGAAATACAAATCAGTAAATGTACATCAAAAATTCGTCACTACAATTTCATATTCAATAGGCTCAACTATTAGTAGTAGCAATAGTATCAGCAGCAGCAGCAGTAGCAGTAGTAGTAGTAGTAGCAGCAGCAGTAGTAGTAGTAGTAGTAGTAGCAGCATTAGTAGTAGTAGTAGTAGCAATAGTAGAAGTAGCAGTAGCAGCAGTAGTAGTAGTAGTAGCAGCAGCAGCAGTAGTAGTAGCAGCAGCAGTATTAGTAGTAGCAATAGTAGTAGTAGCAGCATCATTAGTAGTAGTAGCAGTAGTAGTAGTAGTAGCAATAGTAGAAGTAGCAGTAGCAGAAGCAGTAGTAGTAGTAGCAGCAGCAGCAGTAGTAGTAGCAGCAGCAGTATTAGTAGTAGCAATAGTAGTAGTAGCAGCATCATTAGTAGTAGTAGCAGTAGTAGTAGCAGCAGTAGCAGCAGCAGCATTAATAGTAGTAGTAGCAGCAGCAGTAGTATTAGTAGTAGCAGCAGCAGTATTCGTAGTAGCAATAGTAGTAGTAGCAGCATCATTAGTAGTAGTAGCAGTAGTAGTAGCAGCAGTAGCAGCAGCAGCATTAATAGTAGCAGTAGCAGCAGCAGTAGTAGTAGCAGTAGCAGCAGCAGCATTAGTAGTAGTAGTAGCAGTAGCAGGAGTAGTAGTAGTAGTAGTAGTAGTAGTAGTAGTAGTAGTAGTAGTAGTAGTAGTAGTAGTAGTAGTAGTAGTAGTAGTAGTAGTAGTAGTAGTAGTAGTAGTTTTATTTAAGGCCACAGTAATAAAATATGGATAAAAACAGTATTTTTATTTTTCAATATATAAATATCAGAAAATCGTGGTTCCACACTAAGATCACAATAAAATTAATATCATTGTAAAAGTCTAATCACACAGAATATTCATTTAAATATTGAAATTGTATTCATGAAAAATTAAATATTGAAATTGTATTCATGAAAAATTAAAAAAAAAAGAATCTTTAAAACCGTCTATGCCAAAAACTTTGTAAGGATTTTTTTTTGTACTGACAGTGACATTCTTAATTTTCAACTTAGGATTAAGGTTTTCCTAAATAGCTATCTATCACTTTATTCCCACTCCACTCAATCTTGACAGACTGATCCACATTGCCCCTTTAATTGCCACATTAATATATTCCGGAGTTACAATAGTAGTAGTTGTTGGTTACATACAAATCTCTGCTCAGTTTTGGGATTTATATTTAAATGCTATATTTCCCCAGGGATTTTCTATTTCTATGTTGTTTTTTTTGTGGAAAGTTGAAAGTTAGTATACTTTGCATTATCGTCACTATAACAACTCCCTGGTATATTGTTGATATATAGAAAAGGTTCGACATTTAAGGGTTTTTTGTCATTTAAAAACCTTCTTTTTTGACTTAAATTGTAACAATAATTCATTATAAAAATGTACTTGATACTAAGGTTACTGTATATCCTGTAAAATTTAGAAAAAAAAACACAAATTCTACAGTTGTATACTTCCATTTACTTGCAAGTTCAATTATTTATAATGTAACAAGGCTACGTTATATTAATATTTATAATGTTTAACTTCATGAAAGTAAATCAAAGCAAGAATTTTAATTTAATTCAGAAAACAAAAATCATTTTAAATTGGCCTACATAAATATTTCACCTAGTTGGTGAAATCATTGTTTTATTTCACTTAAAAATGAAATGTTCTAAGTGTTTTAACGACGAAATAAATGATATCATATCAGTGGCAGATCCATGAATTTGAAATAGTTTGTCCCAGGAAGTCACTTTCACTGATAAAGGGTCTATACGGGAGCAGCCCTCATGACGTAGGTTTGGTTGATAAATTAAAATTTTCAAAGGCTTTAAATAATAATAGTAATTATAGGCCAAATTATGAGCTATTACAGTAGAAAGCTCCATTGGGACACACCTATTAAGGGGACACTTTTCTGTGAAATGAGGGGCAATATAATTATCTTTTAAAACTACAGCCAACTCTTATTTTAATAAGAGGACGGAGATACATACTGAGTGTGCCAAATGATCAAATAACCCTTATTAAAGGGAACACTTCATTTGTTTTTCATTTTGTCAGAACAGCTACAACAGTCTCAAAATAAGAAAAATTCATTCAACTTTATATTTTGACACCTTTGAGCAATAGACCAGAATTTTCTCCACTGAATCCTTAGAGTGGACATTGGTATACAATTTTTACCCTTAACCACAGGGATTTATTTTTCTTTGTTTTTCAAATACTGTTATATAGGATTGTTATCTATACAATAACATGTACCCTTAATTGTAATTCGTTCTCTATTCATGCTACATCCATCCAAAAATAATGCTGAATATTAAAAATAAAATTTGGTCATTAACATTGCATCATGAAATAATATACGGAACATAAAACAAGTGTGCTATTGTTGTTGAATTACATTTCTGCTCATTTCATATTTTTTTATGAATTGTATTTGCTGCATTGCAAATTATTGCTATTATTGCTAAAATTCTAATTTTAATGTAACTGATTCTTATGTCAATAAAAGCATGCTAAAAACCCCTATTAAGGTGACAATTTCACGTTAGTTTGTGCCCCTTCTTATGGGGACAATTTTCTTAGTCCCGAAGGATGTATTTGACACAATTTTAAAAATGATACATGTTGATAAAATCTTAAAACGTAATTAAGGAATTTTTTTTACATGTAAGGCCTAACTATTGTTTATTATACATTTAGTACTAGACTATTTGCGAAACCTGATTTTTGTCAAGTATCATATATAAAATTATTAAAGCTGCATAGGCAGAGTGACAAAATAAAATAAACAAATAAAACGGTTGTAATTTTATATATATATATATACATATATATATACAGTATATATATATATATTTATATATATATATATATATATATATAAATTAGCATTTTCCCCTCAATTTGTTATTATTTGTCATCAAGCCTTGACTTGTACTAAATGCGTGACAAATTTATGATTACGCATGTGTTTCTGCAAAATGCGTGTTACATCCAAAATCACTTTGAAATGAGAGAACGTCCCGTAAAGATAAGAAAATAATGTAAACTATCATGTTCACCCCATAGTTTACAGACTTGTGGTTCCTGAGTAGTCAAGAAGGTTAACACTAAACATACAGGTGGAATTCAGCATTTTGTCATATTCAAAACCTAACCAATGAACTTGTAGTCTGTTCAAAAATGTGGTCAGATTGAAACCTGACCAAACGTACCGGTGACTACGGGCCTGATAGTATATATATATATATATCGTGTGACCCGTGACCGTCGCACATATGACGAACCTCATATATATATATATATATATATATATATATATATATATATATATATATATATATATATATATATCCGATGTAGTTAGTTCCACGTATGTCTCTCATAAATATATAGATATAAGCAAATACGAAAATGAAACGATTGCGTTGACATAATAGAGATATAAAAGTTATTAAAACAAATATTTCACTGAAGAATAATGTATTGACGTGTTACTAAGAATTCAGTATGTACGGTTAATTGGTTCCGGTTATGGTGGGTAAAGCCGACTTCCTATGGACTTCAAAAGTGTAGGACCATGGATCTTAATAGGCGGCCCGCAGGCCAAATTTGGGCCATGGAGTTATTAAATCTGGCACGTGTGGAAAAATGAAATTAAAATCAAATAATCAAATTTAATTAAATCATTTGATAAACAATTTTTTTCATTATAAATAAAGGCAAAAACGCAATCTCCTAATATATATATATATATATATATATATATATATATATATAAATTGGCAAAGTCAAAAGAACAGAAGCTTGTTATTTATTTTTAATGTATTTAATATTGAATTTTCTAAAAAAGTTAATCTGCTATCAAGAAACGCCAAAGATTAAGTTAGTTCTATCTATATATGGAAAGGCCTGGGAAGATTTGTCAATTTATATATATATATTATATATATAGGTCTATATATAGACAATTATCCATAGACTTAGTTTGACGAGTTTCTGATAAAAATTGTTTGCTGTTATATATAAAATGTAGTTTTTTGTCGATTGTGACCTTTGACCATAACCCTTAACAACTTAATCAATACGAGATATTTGGTCATGCATCATTATGAGCAAGTTTG